CGTCATATTTTAGCAGAAAAATGCATGGCCAACCCATATTTTTCAGGCAAAAAAATAAAAAATGATCCACCCCCAGTAAATAAAGGTAAGATCACATAAAACTGAATTTTTCCAGCCTAACCTCCTATACTTTATGCCCAGTCCAACAGAATGCTATGCATAAATCGTTTTCAATGCTGTAAAACGGCTTTTAAACGTTCGACATCTTGGAAATCAGGGGAGGCCTGGTTCCAAAATATTGATCCACCATACTGGAAGAAACTTTATTAATGAAGAAAGCATTATTAATGATTTTAAGGCAATAGAATGGATCTTAACCTAACCTTTCAGCATTCGTTCACTGTGGTGGGTAGTGCAATTTTATTTTGCTCGGAAATGCATAACTGAAGTTAAGACAATGATTTAAAAGCCATCTTACTAGCAAGTGAAAATCGATTTCGTGTGCTGTTCATGATCTCATTTTCCTAGGCAAATTAGGCTTAAATAGCACAGCAATCGATCACTGCAGGTACACTTTGTGCTTATGCAACTTTTGCAATGGTTTGTTTCCCGTTATATACTTTGCTTAAGGTTAAAATAACCCACTACGGGAAAGATCAAAAACAGGTGTTTTACCGCCAGTCGAGCATCCGTCTTGTATGTCTTCATGTATGCTACACCAAGTATGTATATCAGCTGTTTCATTTGTAAAATATGTAGATTTCAACCACATTAATTGAAATTTGGCACAATGCCTCAGCATCATCTGAAAATGTGTGTCAGTTAACTTACTTCGATTGGATGAATATTTATTTTCTTTTRCATATTTTTTCTTGTGTATGTTAGGGTCTCWATGGGGCGGGGTACCTTCAGCYACGGTTAAAAGTTTGTTTGTTTTTCCGACGGTTGATGTGGAAAATTCAGCCATTTGACGTTTGATGGCTTATTGTGGATGGCTATTGGCGGTTCATAGTAAAGTATTAATAATTATTTTCCTTTTAAATGGCTGACGGTTAAACCCTTCTAAAACCCTCGCATAAGGCCTGCGCCCGGTGCATACTAACGACTTAACGGCAAGGTCATGCAAATGCCAAATGACCTTAAAATTGAGGTTTTATGTCCAGTGTGAACAATGTAGTGTTGGAATGAAAATATATTGGAACGTCGCTGGCAAGGATACAAAAGATACAGAGGTTATAACCTAAACTTACTCTTAATTGGGCAGTACACTTTGCCCATTTTGTTCGTTACACTGAGCGATCATTTTTAAATACCCGTTTAAATCACTGATATCGTTGGTCTACTCAAGTAATCTCCATTGCCATTGGCAAAAAATACTACATTTTCAAAAAGAAACATCAAGGTTAGTGCAATTCTAGCCTTAAA